AGAAAAAAATAGTCAAAGGCGTGGACTTTCAGCCTTCACGTACATGCACAGGATCGCAAGCCGAAAGAGCAGCTGCGGCAGGATTAGCGACAGGCACGCCCTGATTAGCGATCGCTTCCTTCATCCTTCACGTAGAAAAAAAGACAACGATCTGCTATCCCTTCACGGCTTGACCTAAGAAAAAGTGCGATCGTAATTTCCCAACCTCCCAGCCCTAGGCCGCTGATGCCGGACGCCGGACGCCGACACGCCGTACTGCAGGTCTGCCGCCTGGCTCTTGCTAATTCCGAATTCCCTTCTCCTAATCTCCTTCCTAATCCAGTCCACCACTGATTTCAGTCCAGGGGGCCCATCGTCATGCTTGGTCCATTGCTCTCCGACTCTAGGCGCTGCCAACAACACACGGACTGATGCTATCATGGATTCGATCATCGGAATCAGGTATATTAGACTTGGGATTTGTAGTTCCTTGATGTGTATGTGCCACCGTTTAATAATCGATGCAAAAATTATATTTTCAGGATTGTGTGTTAGTATGCCGCCGAGAAACAAGACGTATGCATCGGGTAGCAATAAAAGGAAAAGGAAGAAGGCCGCTGATAAATTTGTTCAATCACAGACTGTTGCACAAAATTTGCTGAAACAGTCTCTCTTGATGGTTCATCTGATCTTGAGGTATATGATATTATTTCTGAATCGAAGATTATGATATTCATTTTGCCAAATGGTGTAATGTTTGCTATGGAGATTTTTGTGCATGTGAGAGAAGTTGATTGTTATCTGAATATCTTCATTGCTTATCGCACCTTATTATTTACTATGTCTGTGACGGTCGTATTGGCTGAAAGAAGTTTTTCAAGTCTGAAATTGTTGAAGAATTATTTGAGGTGAAACAGTGATTCAACAGAGGTGGTTTGGCTAACTTATGCATCAAGAAGAAATTATTGGATGAGATTAACATCAACCCCATGACAAGAGACCTTATATCGAGGAATGTTAGAAGCAAATTTTAAGGTAATAGTAGTATGTATGAACTATTCGACACGCATACTGATTTTCAATGCATTGGAGTGTTATTAATAATTTTTCACATATACATATATATATTCATTTTTATTACTATGATGTCTTTATTAAGGGTCCCGAATTTTAGTTTCGTCCCGGGCCCCCAAAATCTCAGGACCGGCCCTGATCATAGCCCGAACCAAAAGAGGCAGTTCATCATCGATAAACGGACATAAATTTAAATTAAACTAACTAAATACTAAAACAAAGACTGCGAGAGGCATCGGGACATCACCACTTTCATGTCGGTCCCTTGCCCATGCGGTCGTCGATGCAGTTGTAGCCCTCCGTGTAGGTGCTGACGACGGGAGGGCGGCGTCGTCGGAGCTGTGGGAGCCGTCAGATATCAGATTCGTCGTTGAAGGAGATTACGCCGGCCATCCCCCGAACCGCACGCTCCTGCTCCTTCGCCAGTAGGTGGGCCTTGGCTTTGGCCACCGCACTCAACGCCACCTCACGCTCCGACTGCTCGATGGCAAGTCGAAGGCCTCTCCTGTTTTTGTGGCAGAACCAAAGCTTCCTTGCTGTAGTGGATCACCCTGATGTAGGTCCCTTGAGGGTGCGAACATCTTTGATGTGTCCCCATTTAAATGAACAGAGAATCTTACTTAGCTAACACAACTCGTAATAATCTTGATCCACTCATCCGAGAAGCCCATTTTACTCATCATCTTCTCGAGAAAAATTCACTCTAACCCGTCATAGACCTTCATCATATCCAATTTCATCCCACATAGAGCTTTCCTCCTTTCCTAGTCCGGATGGCATGAGTAGACTCATAAGCAATTAAGACGTTGTCTGTAATCAAATAACCGGGGACAAACGCACTTTGTTCCTTGGAAATCAGCACCGGAAGAATTAACTTTAGCCTATTCGCCAACATCTTCACCGATATTTATATAAAACATTGCATAGTCTAATAGGTCGGAATTGATTAAGCGGCTCCAACGTTTTGACTTTAGGATCAAAACCAGTACGGTGCTATTAAAATCCACTGATCCTTTCTATTTTTATTCCTCAAAATAGCTCTCTCCCCTTCCCCAATTCTTTGTATCCGGACTATCTGTGCTTCATATTAAGAATATGGTAAGATGGTTTCTTAACAATCCATTTACAATTTTTTATACAAGAAGGGAACACTTCAAATTCATAACTATTTATGTTCTAACATAATAAATTCATGATGTCCTTTCCATTGTTGTTAACCAAGCACATATGCTACAAATAAATGCATAAAATCAATTAATAAGTTGTTCATGTCTACCAAATCATCATTTGTTTTAAGCATTATAATCAAATCTAAAAATCGAGTGGTGAACTAACCATATTAACTATTATATTTTTTCCTTCCAATTATCCCCGCAATATGTGCGCACATCATCCACACCAACAAGGACTCCTTATCCATTTGTTTGATATAAGCTATCCTTCGACAATATTTTCTGTTTCACCATTAACCTTAAATTTGTTTTTCACACCCAAACAGTAAAAATAAATATCTCATCGGCCAACGACTGAAAGATGTCATAATTGCGTTGGGCCCCACAAACAGTCAAAATAAATATAATTATTTATACTAAATTTAAATATACCTTTTTACAACTCATTTATACAATCACACCCTTTTCTAATATATTGTGTCAAAATCGAGCGTTAAAATTTCACATTAGTTTTTTTTCATTGCGTTACCTTAAAATTTTAACAAAAAATTTGAATGCGAGAAAATAACAAAAGACTAAATGACACATCTTGTGAGATTAATTTTGTGACACTTGTTGCGTGTGTTTATCTTTAAATGCACTCGTGAGATATTTCTAAAGTATATGATATGACCAACGACTTCTAGTTTATGATTAGTTAGATGCAAATAGAAAAATCTAGAGTATGTACGTTTTTTGAACTTTAGATTCTATAAGTTTTTTAAGGTCCCCGATCTATTATGAAGGTTCGTCAAAGTACAACGCACACCAAACATAATAAAAATTGTATCGACGTCCCTGAACCAAAGAATGACCACTCATTCTATCAGAACGAGTCGCTGACGTGTCACTATTGCCACTCTCATACTGGAGCTGACCTAACCTTGTCGGTGATAGTCATAAAGTCTTCGTGCATGTGCCCGGTAGCCACATTTGTCGTCTTTGAACCCTTAAATCAATTCGAACAACTTACATTAAATCTCACGGCTGGCAGGAAATTCTAATCACACTGCCTCAAGGAGCCGCCAGGAATTATACGATGGAGCTCCATCTAATCCGTCGTGACGGATGATTTCAAGGAGGATCGGAGCCCCGTAGATCGAGTCTGAGATAAAGCACCGTCATCCGCCCGAGCACCGCATTTGGGAAGAAAAACTTTTGAATATTAAAACATTTGGATTTTTTTAAAATTTCAGAATTTTTGAATTAAATAAACAAATTGGAGAGAAAATAATTATTTGTATAAGAGAGAAGGCTGAGAGTCACATAGGTGATCCCTTCATGAGAGAAGGTTGTGAGAGGAAAGCCGCGTGGTGAGCACTCATCTTTTTTGGCTACTTCTGCATCTAATGTAATAGCCGCACGGTTAGAGCATCCATGGCATAGTTGTTTGCTACCTCTAAGGCCTTGTACTAGGTGCTTAGAAAAATAAACCAGATTTTTCTGAAGCACCGGTGCCTATTTCTACTAAAAAGACGCCTGATTAAGCTTTTATCCTGTACAAATAAGCATCCGTGCTTAAGAAAAGCCTAGTTTCTTTCTCCAAACACCTCTTCCAAGCACCTTGCATTGTACAAGGTCTAAGATTGACTCTAAGCTCATAGAGGCCGCATCTATACATTGTGAGTCATCCTTTTATTGCCTCCAAGCTTCCTGTTGCCTCTAATCTTAGAGGCAGCCTCTAACAACTAAACAATTCTGATGGTCCCATTTGTCAATTAGCATGAGAGCAATTGTTAGAGAAGAGCCATGCACATGACATGACATGAGTGTACAGCTGCCATTTTTTTTTGAGGCTCCATGTTAGAAGCAGATTATGGCCCCCATACACTGTGGTTTGAACTGAACAGAGGCAAGTGTGTAGGGCCGTCCTTAGAGGATAAAAGCAGCGACCTACAGAAAAGCAGAGAATAAGAGACAAAGCAGAAGTAAATATCAGATGTTGTTTAAGATCGAAAGCACAAGTTTCACTGATTCAGAACACAATACGCACAAGTTTCTCTTCACACCTGAGAAACACAAGTCAGTGGAAATCCAGACCCTGCGCATCGCTCTTTACATTTCGTGTACACGCAACAGAAGTATGAGGAAAAAATCAACACTTCTTCATGTATGCATCTCCACTGCCAGGGCGAAGAAGGTGTTCCCCGATCCTGATGACAATTGTCAAGACATAAAACCTCGCTTCAATACCAGTTTCTTGATCTGGTCACCAGTGAGAGTCCCATGCTCCAGGAGGGCGTTCGCTACCGCTTGGTGCTCCTTGCGGTGCTTCGTGAGAATCGTTTTCGCGTTGTTCTAAGCGTTGTCCAACAATGCCTTCACCTCCTCATCAACCAGGGCCGTCGTCGGCCCGCTCATGGTCATCGTCTTGCCACCGCCGCTAACGGCGTTGTCGTCGCTGTAGGTCACGAGGCCGACCCGCTTGCTCATGCCATACTTGGTGACCATGTCTTTCGCCAATTGGGTCGCCTGGTTTAGGTCAGATGAGGCACCAGTCGTGATCCCGGCTTCTCCATATATAAGCTCCTCGGCCACCCGCCCACCCATGAGGACATCCAGCCTTGCCAGCATTTGCTTCCTCGATGCTTCGAGCTCGCTGTCTTCCCCTGGAATCTGCGTCACCAAGCCGAGAGCATTTCCCCTGGGCAAAATGGATGCCTTGTACACAGGGTCAGCACCGTCCGTGAGGATAGCAACGAGGGCGTGCCCACCCTCATGGTACGCGGTCATCTTCTTGGAATGATCAGATATCGCCGCCGACTTGCGCTCAGTGCCCATGATGATCTTGTCCTTGGCGTACTCAAGGTCATCCATCCTAACAGCATATGCCCCATCCCTGGAAGCCTTGAGAGCGGCTTCATTCACTAGATTTGCAAGGTCTGCACCCGAGAACCCAGGCGTCCCCCTCGCGATGGTCAGCGCATTCACACCAATGCCTTTCTGCACCTGCATGGAAGAAATCATGGAGAAAAGGTCAAAGCCTCGCACCAGAGACATCGAAAAGTAAAAATGTGCCTTGTGTTGCATACCTTTGACATGTGAGCCTCGAGGATCTGCTTTCGGCCCACAACATCTGGAAGGTGAACACGAACTTGACGGTCAAAACGCCCAGGCCTGACAAGGGCGTCATCTAGCGACTCAGCGAAGTTGGTTGCTGCGACCACAATGATCCCTTCATTCTGCTTGAAGCCATCCATCTCAACAAGCAGCTGGTTCAGAGTCTGCTTTGCCCACGATGGTTCTTCTGCGTTTCTGCGCCCACCAACGGCATCAAGTTCATCGATGAATATTATGCAAGGAGCTCGCTTCTTTGCTGCACGGAAGAGCTCCCTCGCCCTCTTAGCACCAACACCAACATAAGACTCCTCGAAAGCACTGCCACTGCACACGAAGAAAGGGACGCCGGCTTCCCCAGCCACAGCCCTTGCCAACATGGTCTTCCCTGTGCCAGGTGGGCCCACAAGCAGAATGCCCTTTGGAAGCTTGCCACCAAGGCGGTTGAATCTCTGTAAAGCATGTATCACCTTAACAAATCAGCATCAAGAAACAATTATATTGGATTAAAACACCTGCACACAGGTTGATGGCGATGCCACACTCACGCTGGGATTTCGTAGGTAGTGAACTATGTTCTCAAGCTCAGCTTTGGCCTCATCGACCCCCTTTACATCACTTAACTTGGTGTTCAAATCCTTAGGCACTTCTTTCAAACCTTCAAACTTACGAACATCAATGTCCTCCAACATTTCAAAGGCCCACATTACGACGCCAGTAACTACAAGGATTCGCAACATTTAAGTAGGCTTTTCTCTATTACGTAATAGGGTGCACTGGCTGTTCCAAGAACACGTCCTTCCACCCTTGCCGCACTTGAAATTCCTGTATAGAGAGTAGAATCCATCCGTGCACACAAAAGTCGTCAAACCAAATTGTATGTCATTTATGTGGGCATAAAAGACTACATAATAGTCCTAATGAGTAAGTGTGACAGGATTCTACATGATTTTTGGGTCTGCACTATATAGAAATTACCTGTAAAGACAATATTTTTTTCTGTAAATAAAGTGTTTGTTTGGGGAGAAGAAGACGAACACGAGAAGCCTCTGTCGACGCGGCGATTTATGGCTCGCGGGCGACTCGGCGAAGAGCGCCGCCGGCGTCCTTCGATCCCTGCGACCGCCACCGGTCGTCTAAGCTAGATCCACCGGGCCAAATCGAGGAGGGCTCGCGCCGGGTAAAAAGGAAATATCCCTGCCCCCACCCCCATCTCACCCGATGCGGCAGCGCTCGCCCTGCGGTGAAGGCGAGTCGTCGGGCGGAGCATCCCGGGGAGGAGGATCTGCCCTTCGCCGGAGAATCGCGCGCACGCCGTCGTCTCCGCCGCCGGCGAGTGGGTCGTACGCGTCATTGGCGAGCGACGGCGGAGCGAGGGAAAAATAAAAACAGTTGTCCGTCGGTGTTCGAATATCCGTTTTCTTTATTTATTATTATTTCCCCCTTTAATGTTAGGAATATGACTTATTTATATAAAAAAGGAAACTCGTTTGTATATATGTATACATAAAAGGCACAGCACGATTTACAAATAATACAAAATGCACCCCTGTTTCAAATCAGAATTTGATTGCTGATTTTAACAAACAAGAAAATATGAGTTATGTTTTCTAGTGGGCGTCTTATCAAACGATATATCCTTATTTTCACATAAAATATAAAACCGCCATGACGGCTTTCCCTCAAAAAATATAGGTAGTGTTAGAAACATCTCGAGTTAAGAAGGGCAGTGTTAGAAACATCTTTCAAACATGAATGCAATAACATAATTCTTGAGGGTTTATAGCTCGTACTCTCTTAATTAAACCGGTGACAAAGTTGTAATCTAAATTACTCCCTCGGTTTCGAAGGGAGTACAAGTCCATGGGTACAATTTTATCGACTAACTAATACTTCCTCTATTCCGTATGGAGTATAATATCACCGATTGATCAAACAAATTATATCGGATCGAAGAAACTGCAGACGCCATCATTGAAAAAGCTTGTGAAGACATGGAAAAACACAAAGATAAAATTGTATGACACAACGTGTCCAAGAACTACACATATTGCGCTCTCTATCTATCTATCTATCTATCTATCTATCTATCTGCAATAGCGATTATTTATTCGCAAAACAAAAAGTAACAAAAATCTTCTTCTTGGAAAACAAAAGAAACAATGGTCTACGAAAAGACAAGGAAGCGAAGGACGGACCTTGGAGAAGGCGAGTCGAAAGGTGGCCATGCATGCAGATCGCATACGTGGTGGCGTGTCGGCCGGCGAGATGGATCAAGCTAGCGCAGCTACTTCTTCCTTTGATCGACGACCGTACGTACTCTACGTGTATATATGTGACGCACGTACGTGTCGTGTGCGTTACTACCAGAACACCATCGCGCTCGTGTACATATGCGACGCACGTGTCGTATACTCGTATGCTACATGGAAGGAGAGCCATGCATCGGTACGTACGATGGATCCAACAAGCTCCATCGTTTACGTAGTTATACGTAGGCACCATTGCGCGCGCTCGCTCCGGTCTCCATCGAGTCCAGGTAATTAAAGGCGCACGCACTCGATCTCCTTGACACACACGCGGTTAATCGTCCATCCACAGGAATTGCGCCTATGATGAATCTATGAACGTAAGTTTCATCGTGTTTACATAGCTCACCATTCAGTCAAAAATAAGTGGGTGCGCACGCATAGCCTTCATGACCGCCGGACCAGCATTTGATTGTGCGGCACGCAACAACCCTACCACCCCTACGCTCGTTTGCAACGTGGTCCTTGTTGCACCATGCGCAATAGCAACACGAACTCTCTTGCTAAAGCAAGAGGACGTTTGTTTCGGTCGCAACATAGGCCACGTTGTTGTAAAGGTAAAGGTAGAAAAAGCTTTGGACGAAGCATGGCTCATGTCGCAAACCGCCTGAGCGCGACACAAGCCATGTTGCGAACGGCTGTGGTGGAACTCCATAGAGATGTGGATGGAGTTTTTCTGGCCATTCAAGCCACGTCCTGATTCTAGAGATTTGTCTCTCAGATTAGAAAAAATTCTGGTTTGATTGTTTTAGGCAGCACTCTCTTCAGACTTGAGAAACATAATTCAGAAAATACAGTCGATCTTTACACTCTATGTGCATGCAACAAAAGCATCAGAAAACAAAACTTCTACCTCTCCACTGTTAGGCCAGGTGAAGAAGGTTTTAACAAGACTAGTTAAAAGTTAAAACCATCTACCTGCTGATACTATCTTCTTGATCTGGTCACCGGAGAGAGTTTCGTGCTTCAGGAGGGCGTTGGCCAGCGCATGGAGCTCCCTGCTGTGGGCCGTGAGAATCGTTCTCGCGTTACTGTAAGCCTTGTCCAATAATGCCTTCACCTCCTCATCGACCAGGGCCGCCATTGACCCGCTCATGGCCGCCGCGCGGCCACCGTCGTCATAGGAAACAAGGCCGACCCGCTTGCTCATGCCATACTTGGTGACCATGTCCGTCGCCAGCTGAGTCGCCTGGCTGAGATCAGACGAGGGGCCGGTGGTGACCCCTGCCTCTCCGAACATGAGCTCCTCGGCCACCCGCCCACCCATGAGAACATCCAGCGCCGCCAGCATCGGCTTCCTCGACTGTTCGAGCCCGCCATCTTCCCCCGGAAACTGTGTCACCATGCCAAGAGCGTTTCCCCTGGGAACAATGGTGGCCTTGTGGACGGGGTTGGCGCCGTCCGTGAGGATAGCAACAAGGGCATGCCCGCCCTCGTGGTACGCCGTCATCTTCCTGGAACGATCAGACATCACCACTGACTTGCGCTCGCTGTCCTTGGCGTACTCGAGGTGATCCATCCCAACAGCATTCGCCCCCACCCTGGAAGCCTTGAGTGCCGCGTCGTTCACTAGGTTTGCGAGGTCTGCACCTGAGAACCCAGGCGTCCCCCTCGCGATAGTCATCAAATCCAAACCCTTGGCTTTCAACACCTGCAAGGGAGAAATAATAATGGAGAAAAATGTCAAAGCCTCGCATCAGAGATCAGACACGGCGAAAAGCAAGTACGCCTTGTATTACATACCTTTGACAAGTGTGCCTCGAGGATCTACCGCCGACCCACAACATCTGGAAGCGGAACATGAACTTGACGGTCGAAACGCCCAGGCCTGACAAGGGCGTCATCTAGCGACTCAACGAGGTTGGTTGCTGCGACCACGATGATCCCTTCATTCTGCTTGAAGCCATCCATCTCAACAAGCGCTGGTTCAGAGTCTGCTTTGACCACGATGGCTCTTCTGCAGTTCTGCGCCCACCAACGGCATCAAGTTCATCGATGAATATTATGCAAGGAGCTCGCTTCCTTGCTGCAGCGAAGAGCTCCCTCACCCTCTTAGCGCCAACACCCACATAAGTCTCCTCGAAAGCACTGCCACTGCACGCGAAGAAAAGGACGCCGGCTTCCCCAGCCACGGCCCTTGCCAACATGGTCTTCCCTGTGCCAGGTGGGCCCACAAGCAAAATACCCTTTGGAAGCTTGCCACCAAGGCGGTTGAAACGCTGCAAAGCATACAAAACTTACTAGGTTAACAAGTCAGCACCAAGAAACAGTTATTGAATTAAAACACCTGCACACACACAGGTTGATGGCGATGCCGCACTCACATTTGGATCTTGTAGGTAGTGAACTATGTCCTCGAGCTCAGCTTTGGCTTCATCGACCCCCTTTACGTCACTGAGTTTCGTGCTCGAATCCCTAGGCACTTCTTTCAAACCTTCAAACTTGCCAACCTCCGCTTCCTCCAGTTTACCAATCGCATAGACTGCAAAGCCAGCAACTACAATGCCTCCAGAGGTACGCAGAAGCTGCTTTTTAAGCAGGCCTTTCTCTACCATGCAATAGGGTGCACTAGCTGTACCAAGCACACGTCCTTCCTCCCTTGCTGCATTTGAAATTCCTGCTGCATAGAGAACAGAATCCATCAGTGCACACAAAAGTTGTCAAGCCAAATTGCATGTCGTTCATCTGTAAAAGGAACATACTAGTCCTAATTAATTAGTAAACGTGACGAAAGAAAAGGTGGTTACCTTGACTTAGCCTTTTGATGTTCTGCATGACTCCTTCTGTATCACCCCTATAAAACTCTTTAGGAAGAGAAGCGGTGTCGGAGTGCATGCCCCGTATCCTCTGACCAACAAAACTTGATCGGTACCTCTGTTGTAGATTTCTAAGCACACTGCCTGCATGAATTAAACACCAAGCAGAAACTTAATCCATGGCAACAGGCACCCAGTAAGGTGTAGAATATGGTAAGATCTAGGTTGTACTAAGAAGAGGAAAAAGAAAGCATCTCTCTAACTGAAAACAGGATATTCGGGCACAATTCAGTCATGCTACTACTAGTTTGGCAGTTGCCACATAAGCATATCGATATATACCTGCACCAGTAGTTGTATTTGCAGCAGGTGTGTTGGAATGTAACATGGGCTGCGTTCTGAAGTTTTGTATAACTCTTTTCTGGATAACTCCTAGAAATGTTGCTACGAAGAGAAGCGGCGCCAGAGTGCACGCCCCGTATCCTCTGCCCAGCAGAGGTCGATCGGTACCTCTGTAGTAGGTTTCTAAGCACACTACCTGCATTAATTAAGCACCAATCAGAAACTGACTTCCTCCATGGCGACAGGGCAACCAACTTGCCGTATAACGTAATAAGATCGAGTTTACACAGAAGAAGAAAAACAAAGCATCTGTCTATGAGTTGAATAATAGTACATTGGGCACAATTAAGTGGGGCTTCTTTTAGTTGCCAGTTGCCACATAGGTGTACTGATTAAAGCAGCAATTTATGCGGTGTAAACAGCCGTATATACCTGCGCTGGTAGTTGTATTTGCAGCAGGTGCCCTCAAAGAAGGAACGGAGGCCGCTGACACAATCTCATTGCAAATCGCATTCGCCGGCCGATGCCTCGCAAGATGCCTTGCAGCCCGTGACACACACACATAGGCACACAAAGAATAAGTTGAGCAAAAGGGGATAAAGAAAATTAGCAACCAGTAAAGCAGCATCGATCTTTCAGTGTGTTTTCTGAAATGCAGACACTGCCTCTTGCAGTTGCAGAATCAGCATCATGCATACAAGAATTCCTGGCAACCTCGACGAACTCTAGCCATCCATCGCAATGCAAGGCCTCGTGTTCTTTTAGGACTTGAACAAACCTTCAGTAAGACACAGGCCAGACTCTCTACAGTCTACACACGACGAATCGAAAACACAGCTCTGCTTGGGAGCTCAGTAAAATTACTGAATCCCATATGAGAACCAACCAAACTCCCCTGCGAACAAGTGATGCTCAATATTCAAATGGCTGGAGCTGAGGCACAAGCAATTTTGTCTCTCCACAGTGAGTGATTCATGCCAGACTCGTCCATCTGCCAACCTAGATCCGCCGGACCAAAATACGACAGGAGCGCAGACTGGATCCCTGAAATTTTCATGCAAGCGCACATGGACCTACCTACCCTCTCCCGCGCTCGTCTGCCTCCCCGCCCGACGCGCCTTCCGCCAGAGGCTGGGGCCGGAGGAGCATCCCGCCGTCGTGGAAGCGCCCGTCGGCTGACGACGCCGGGAAGCGGGACGAGAAGTGCAACTCCAAGCCGACGGCCGGGGCTCCGAAGAAGCACGCGCTGCGGTGGTGCGGAACGAGTTCGCGGGTGGGAACGGGCGCCGCGCCGACGAGCGGCGGTGGCGCGCCCGCCGTCGGCGCGCAGTGTGGATGTCGCCAACTTATTTTTTTTCCTTGAAACAAGTATTTTCCAGCCCGGCCGGGGGCCCATTAGCTTTCCTTACACAGGCTTCGGGCCTTCCAAGTGGGCCATGAACCAAGACAAAAGAATTCGTGACGAAGAAGGCAGATCGAGCACAATAGCCCACAACGATCAAAATCAATTGTGGGGAAGAATCAATTGTTATTTTTGCTGACGAAGAATTGTGGGGAAGAATCAATTGTTATTTTTGCTGATTATTACAATTCGGTGAAGTAGACTTTTTTTTACAGTGATTATCATTGTATAGTTATTTGATTGTTTTTTCCTATATATAAACTTGATAAAACTCTGCCCTGGTTGAATTTACAATGATTTACTGTGTGACATGGTGTGTACAAAATTCACGTGCCTTCTTCTCAAACACGGAGGTTCCAAACTATACAAGAAAAGGTACGGGCCATTGTCGAGTGATAAAAAGGGCGAACGCAAATGTATACATAGCTAAGAACACAAAGAGAACAGAAAAGAAAAGAAGGGGGGAGACACGAACCTTGCAAGCCGCGGAGAAGGCGGCGCGCCATGTCATTGCCATGGAGGACGCGCGCGTTAACGTTCTTGGATCGGACCGATGCTTTTTTCACCGTTGTTCAAACGAAGGAACGGTACTGTAGATGGACAGGATCGAAGCAGCTTGATTTCCCTTCTAGCTTCCTCGTGTATGTGGCTGTATGCTACGCCGTGTTTACCATCGTGTGTTTCTCAAGTAGACTTATACTCCCTCCGTTCCTAAATACTTGTCTTTTTAGAGATTTCAACAAGTGACTACATACGGCGCAAAATGAGTGAATCTACATTTTAAAATATGTCTACATACATCCGTATGTTGAGTCCATTTGAAATGCCTAGAAAGACAAGTATTTGGGAACGGAGGGAGTACTTGAGACGAGGGCCGTTGACTACGTGTTTGTGTATATATACGTGCATGCATGCATGACGTGCACAGAGATCGAGCCTCTTCCCAAGTTAATAGCGCCGCATGCTTGGACGACAAGGTGGGCTAGCTCGATGGAGCTAGCTAGTGCACGGTAAATTTCGACCTAGGTTGACGGTGCGTGCGTGCGTGGTAAGCCTTGGCCTGAATTTAGACTTTGGGCATACGTCTAAATCGCTGTGGAGCGTCTTATTTAGACTTCCCAAGTTAAAAGAAAAAATTTCAATCAAAGCAGTGCGTCTTATTGTCGGCCCAGCTAAATCGCCAGCACCTATACTCCCGTCAAAAAAAAAATCGCTGGCAACTACAGCAGATACAAATTAACTTGGTGGTATATATCATTCCAATAAAATACATAGTGCCTCCATGCATGCGGCACCATTAGCCAGCTAGAGCTAGGCATGTACAGTACTCCCTCCGTCCGAAAATACTTGTCATCAAAATGGACAAAAAAAGATGTATCTAAAATTAAAATACATCTAGATACATCTCCTTTTATTCATTTTGATGACAAGTATTTCCGGACGGAGAGAGTATGTTCCAAGGAGAAAAGGCAGCGGAGCCAGCGAAACGACATTCCTCGACAGCTCGGCCGGCGTCTGTCTCGAGTGAGTCTCGCCGTGGCCACCTCACCTCGAACGCAGCTCCAAGAGCATCCGAGGAGGAGGATGCCACTTTCCAACGCCGCCGTGAATGTCGCAGTCCGCAAGAGCTGTCTGTCTCGGATGCACGCACATGCCCACACTTTCGGATGGATGCGCCCACGCCGTGCTGATGGATGCGCCTTTTCAAATAATATGTTCAGAAATTGCAAAAAAGAATTTCTAAAAACCATTCGTGTTTTCAAAAATGGTTCACAACTTAAAGATGTTTACAATTTCGTAAAATGTTTGTGCTTTCAGTTTTTCTGAAATTTCAAAATTGTTCTGGTTTTTTTTTATAAATTGCTCACCGTTTGCAAAAACGTCAGCGTCTCAAAAACACTAGAGTAGTCACGATACATCTGTTCACTACAGTTCCCACTCCAATGTTCGTGCAATGAGTCAGCCCACCCACGACGGTCCCGTGCGACAATCCTCCTTTTTTGACGCAAAGAGTGTCAAATAGGAGGTCTCAAAAAGGCCTTCCTGTAAACCTTCCCCGACAACTGGCAGGGGGAGGGAGGGCAACCACTAAACTTTCACGCTTGCCTCCAAGCTGGTTGAGAT